TGTGAAGCTACACAAAGTGCACGTGCACAACACATTTAATTTCCACAGCTACAAGTGAGTAGATAAGCATATCTGAACTGTGTATTTAGTAGGAAAGCAAATGCATGCATTCTTTAGTAGAATTACAACCAAATTGATAGTATGTATGATCCAGTGAAATGTATTCTCTTCCTGATCTGAGTGCCCCCCTATATCACTTACACCAGACATCCCAAGTCTCCTGGTAGTTACTCCCTCATTTTGCATGTGGGTCCCTGACACCCTCATATCATGTTTAATATCCCGGGCATCACACACAATCTGACATACAACGTATATCAGATTGTACTTGTTGGTTTCCAGCATATTACACGTGATTTGATAGCCCCTTCCCTCATACTAAGCAGGGGCTGGTGGGGTGCCCGCACTTTAGGAGCCGACAATCAGCCTGTCGCTTCTTCCCTGCTTCACAGAGGACTGGAGGGGGAGGCAGCATGGAGTCTGCAGGAACCACACAGCAGCATGGAGGGAGAAGAGAAGCTGGAGTGAGCTGCCACTGCATGCTCACTCCTATCAGCCTCAGCCAGGACCAGAGCATCAAGCAAGCCACCCTCCAGGCGTCAAATTTAAGCTAAAAGGAGTGTGTGTAGGCCTGTGTGTGTGTAGGCCAGTGCGTTTTACATAGTTACATAGCTGAAAAGAGACTTGCGTCCATCAACTTCAGCCTACCTCACATTTGTTTTTTGCTGTTGATCCAAAAGAAGGCAAAAAACCCCAGTTTGAAGCACAATTTTGCAACAAGCTAGGAAAAAAATTCCTTCTTGACCCCAGAATGGCAGTCAGATTTATCCTTGGATCAAGCAGTTATTACCCTACATTGAAAGATTATATCCTTGAATATTCTGTTCTTGCAAGTATGCATCTAGTAGCCGTTTGAACATCTGTATGGACTCTGATAAAACCACTTCCTCAGGCAGAGAATTCCACATCCTGATTGTTCTTACAGTAAAAAAACCTTTCCTTTGCCTTAGGCGAAATCTTCTTTCTTCCAGTCTAAACGCATGGCCTCGTGTCCTATGTAAAGTCCGGTTTGTGAATAGATTTCCACACAATGGTTTGTATTGGCCCCGAATATATTTGTATAAAGTTATCATATCCCCTCTCAGGCGACTTTTTTCTAAACTAAGTTTATCTGACTGTATGTATCAGTGTGTGTGTGCCAGTGCGTTTATCTGACTGTATGTATCAGTGTGTATGTGCCAATACGTTTATCTGTGTGTCAAGGTGTTCATACATGTTTGCAGGTTGTCAGTGTCTGTGTGGTGGGAGGGTGCGCACGGGAGTGGGGGGTGGCGCTGTAGCTGAAATGCATTTGTGCAAGTTGGGATGTCTGCTTACACTAATTCTTACAGACGGTATTTGCAGTTGAGCTTTTACATAAACTGCCACGTGGCAAGACTGATAAAATGCATACGCACAGCCTTAAGTCTCTGACTGATCCTGGCCACTAAAAAAGTGGGCAGAGCAGTTTGGACAGTTTTTAATGCTTATTGTTTCTGCATTTAAGGACCATCAGTGTAGTAAAGCATTCTAACTAACCACTCTAAGTTTCTTTGTCAGAATAGCATGTCCTATTCTTTTAAGGAGTGCAAAAAACAAGTTGTATGATAGTACTGAGAACGGACAACAGCTCAATTAGCCTGCCCTTCGGTGGATCCCGCTCAGTTCAAAAGGGTGGTCCACATCCAAAATAAAGGCCGGCTCTCTGCACGAGAGATACAGCAACCCCAGATGATTGTTTTAACCTTGTTGGGCATCATCAGTGAGGTATAGCAGATATCCCTCTAGGCACCGTGAGCAAGGCGTCTACATCTGGATTACCCTTTTAACTTGGGGAGAGAAAAAAACAAGTTGCAAGATCCTTTGTCAGAATAGATTGTCCTATTCTTTTAATGAACGCATGGCTGTATAAAGCTACAGTTGTAAAGCAAGTAGTAATTCCATAGTAGCAAAGGTCTTTATAGACCAGATTGTTTCTTTGCTTCTTTCTTATGGTGTTAAAACTCCAGTGCGCAAATAATAATTTATAAAAACTAAACACTTTTTAGTAGATATAGCCCTAATGAACGTTTAAGTGTGCTTTTTTTTTCTCCCATTGGGGTATATCTAAAACAGCTTGTGAAAGCTGCAGATCTCTTGCCTCTCTCTGCAAACCCAGCCCAGAGTTTCTGTGGCTGTCCAATCACAGACTTATCAATGCTGCTCAATGAGTCTTTGCAAAGCAGGTGCTTTGGAATTGAGTTTAGCTTCACTGAGCTTAAACAGCAAGCAAGTCAAGTTTTCTGATTTACATTCAGGGGGCTGTATCAATGTTGGTTTATAAATGTGCTAACGTCTATTGAAAGGACTTTTTGCTAAAATGATAAAAATAGGCACACCGTTCACACACAAAGCACTTTAGGAGTGTGAAGTGTCCCTCTAAGCTTGTAGCCCCATTCTATCTTCTTATGAACCTACCTGATTAAAAGTATTGGTGTTTTTCTAGTGTCGTCTTTTTGTCCATCTTACACCATCAGCTATATAGACATGCTGCATAAGATCTTATGGTCATTTTTTTTTTTTTTCATGTTTAAAGGTTTACGTTTTCATAGTTATATACATAGATGTGTGGTCGTGTTAGTGACTTGCGAAAGGAGGTGAATTGTTGTATAGCTTATTTAGTGCTACAGTGCATATATTACTAAAATGCTGTGCCTTATTATAATTTGAACAATATTGAAGTTTAAATGCAGATCGTGCATACCTACATGTGTGTGTCATCCTAACAGCAACATTGCTCATGCATGTGCTTGCAATTTTATTAGCATAAGGAACTACATCTGTTTGTATGACCAAACATTCACCTCCCAAACTGATGAAAAAACAAAAACCTTTAAACGTGAAAAGGTAAGTTTCAAGAAAAATACCTAACCTCTAAATACTTTAATCTTTTCCTCCTGATGCACTGTTTTTCAGAGCAGTTTTCATACCATTGTGGTCCAGGTTTGTTCATTTGGGTAATCTGTGACAGCTGGTGGTCCTTGTGATTCACTGTTCTGTGATGTGATGTAAGAGTTACTGTACTTTAGGTTTGCTTGAAACATATCGACATACAGGGTTATTCACTAAATTGAAAATTCTAAGTCAATTTAAAATGTAATCTAAAAATAGCTTAAATGGAAAAATTCTGTCTGCTTTGCTTTCATTTCAATTACTCTTTCCTTAAATTTAAAATTCAATTTGAATTCTCATGTTCGTCAATAGCCCTGACGGAAACACTTTTGACATACTGTATACAACATCTCCAATGTCTTCAAATTCTATTCTGGGGTTGGACTGTGTGTCCTCTAATGTTTTCCAAACTATTCCTAAGCGTACAGCATGACATTTAACACCAAGAGTTAGCGTCTGGATAATTGAAAGCTGTAACTATGTCTGTTGGTTGTGGTAAACTTATGGAAACCATCTATTGCTTCTTCTGGTTCCAGAGCACAATTACTACTGAAAATGCTGTAAGTGCACCATAATCTTTTTTTGGTGTAAAATGAAAGTGGACACATAAAACACTTCAGCAAGCTGACGTGCTTTATAGCTCTGTAGTGTCCCTTTAATAAGCGTTAATATCTCTAAGTTGTTAAATTTTTATTTTAAATGGCTATTTTAAGTTTTCTGTGGTTACAGTAAATGAGGTTTCCTGAATATGCTCCCTTGGCTATTTGCAGGTCCTGAGAGTTTACAACAATAAGTATGTTCAGGAAATGAGACCACACAAACTTCTTCTATCTTACCATTGTTCATAGTAGAACTTCTTCAAAATATATATAGAAACTTTTTATTTCACTATATCTCCTGAAATTTGTGATCTGATATTCTGTCTCTTGCCTAAAGTATCATTCCCATTAACCTCCCACAGCTTTGCATGATTGGTAGGCGTGCATATTGCTTCAATATGTTTAATATACATTTATATCGGTCTGCATTGAATAATCCCTGTTTTAAAGGGACTTGTTCAAGCATAAATGAAAAATCTGCAATATTAGTTTCCTGCTTTACTTTTACTGATATTGTATCTGGTGGTTTTTGTCTTTGTTTCTGTAGATCTGTTTTCAAGATTAATTTCATGTTTCCTGTCTGTGCCCCTTGATTCTCTCCTACATTTGTAGTGTTATTTCTTAAGGTTGCAACAAATGCTGTTTTGTGTTAAAATAACTGGAAGTCCTAATCTGTTTTAGTTTTTGGTTATTTTTACCCAGATTATTTTACTTAATACTGTAAAACTTGCCATTCCCCACTCACTTCCATCAGTTTCAAATAGTGTACTTTTGCCATCTTGTTGATGCAGTTCTCGACCTATCCCAGGTTGCCATGGCGACTAGTAATTTTGTCCTGGCTCTTGGTATTTGTCAGCCCATTCAGCAGAGGTGGCGAGGTAGCAGTAATCTTCCTGCTCTGCGTACTGCAGTGATGCCGGAATATGACATCAATCTGGCCCCGGCATAAAAAACTGGGCAGGTGGGGAGGAAGGGGCAGAGCAGAAAGATGAGAGCAGCCCCACTGGGCCCCAGGAAAGCCGATCCACTCAAACACTCTCAAAGGTAGGCTGCCTGGGTGGATTTAAATTAAGAAATTTTAAAATTAGAATTTCTGTGTCTTCCTGTTTAGGCGGCCAGCCCCCCTCTGGCGCATTGTAAAAAAGGTGTCTACTTGTCTCACCAGGATTGGCCCCACCTCCATGGTTGAGATAGTCAATCTTGATCTCAGTCAAGAAATTGCTCCCATAGGAAAGCACTGGGAAGCTACTGTGCAAGCTCAAATCGCTGCACCAACTATCAAACTGAAATTCTGCATATACAGATTCCAAGCACCATGATGTCTTAAAAAAATTAAATTTATACAGAAAACTCCCATGAGTGCACTTCCTTTTGCTGAGCGTAAGTTTGTGTGTGTGTGTGTATATGTATATATATATGTGTGTGTGTGTGTGTGTGTGTGTGTGTGTGTGTGTGTGTGTGTGTGTATATGTGTGTGTGTATATATTATATATATATATATAATACATACACACGCACACACACACACACACACCCCCACCCCCCCAAGGCCACTTCATTGTAATTAGTGGTCTGGATGCCTATAGTTTCCCTTTAATGTGTGTGCCCATATACATTACTCCAGAATTCATTTCATATTTTTAGGACATTACATTGTTGGAAATGCTTTGCATTTGTACAATAAGTGTACTTTTTTTATTTTTATTTTTTCTGTCCCTGAGTAGCAATTTATACATGATATTGCTGCTATATCCCACTTTGATGTTATACCTGATCTACTTTTTAGTAAGAAGCAAAGTTTATGGTAGAAATTGATAGTGTTAGAAACTTATGCTGTCCTTCAGTGATTTAAATGGTTATAACCACTGGCGTACATATCACGGTCACCGGGGGACCGGCCGCCCTGCGACCCAGTATGTACGCCAGTGCGGCCAGCCTTTTCTCCAGGGGGGCCCAGGAGCTGGCCACCTCAGGGCCCCCGAGGCTGGCAGTGACCTCACTTTGAAACGAGGGCATTCTCCCTGGAGCGCTTTCTGCCCTGCTCCCTCGCACGCACCGCAGTGATGCCGGAGCCGGAATATGACGTCATTCCGGCATCCTTAAGCAGCGTGCGAGGGAGCCGAACAGGAGGATCAGTGCTCCCTCGCCGCCTGCATTACCGACCTCCAAGCAGCCCCACTGGACCCCAGGTAGGGAGGCTGGGGGTTTAAATTAAAAATAAAATAAAAATGTAAGTGTGTGTCTGTCTGTTACTGAGTTTTAGTGTCTGTCTGCTAGTGAGTGTCAGTGAGTTAGTTTTTGTGTGTCAGTGAGTTAGTTTTTGTGTGTCAGTGAGTGTTAGTTTTTGTGTGTCAGTGAGTGTTAGTTTTTGTGTGTCAGTGAGTGTTAGTTTTTGTGTGTCAGTGAGTGTTAGTTTTTGTGTGTCAGTGAGTGTTAGTTTTTGTGTGTCAGTGAGTGTTAGTTTTTGTGTGTCAGTGAGTGTTAGTTTTTGTGTGTCAGTGAGTGTTAGTTTTTGTGTGTCAGTGAGTTAGTTTTTGTGTGTCAGTGAGTTAGTTTTTGTGTGTCAGTGAGTGTTAGTTTTTGTGTGTCAGTGAGTGTTAGTTTTTGTGTGTCAGTGAGTGTTGGTTTTTGTGTGTCAGTGAGTGTTGGTTTTTGTGTGTCAGTGAGAGTTAGTTTTTGTGTGTCAGTGAGAGTGTATGTTTTGTGAGTGTGTGTCTGTCAGTAAATGTGTCGGTTAACTAGTGTGCATGCGTCTGTCAGTAAATGTGTCGGTTAACTAGTGTGCATGCGTCTGTTCGTGAAAGTGTGTGTATGCTTGTTAGTGAGTATGTTTGTCAGTGAGTGAGTATGTGGGTCTGTCACTATGAGTGTGTGTATGTCTATGTATGTCTGTATGTGAGTCTGTATGTGTATCTCTTGGTCTGCATTGGTATCTGTTTGTCTGAATGTGTATCTGAATGTTTGTCATTAAAGTACCACTATAGTGCCAGGAATACAAACTCGTTTGCTGGGTCCCCCCTCCTGCTGGGATGAAGGGGTTAAAACCCATTCAGCACTTGCCTTTCCCCAGCACCAGGCTCCCTTGGCACTGGGGATCTCTCCGTCTCGATCCGCCTCTCAGCTCCGAATGCGCATGCACTGCAAGAGCCGCGTGCACATTCAAACCGTCCAGTGTCTTCTCACTGTGATTTTCACAGTGAGAATCGCGAAAGCGCCTCTAGCGGCGGTCAGTGAGACAGCTACTAGAGGCTGGATTAACCCTCAGTGAAACATAGCAGTTAATCTGAAACTATGTTTTCAGCTGCAGGGTTAAAACTAGAGGGACTGGCAGACAGACCACTTAATTGAGCTGAAGTGGTCTGTTTGCCTATAGTAGTCCTTTAAGTGTATGTGTATCTGCATGCACTGGTGTACATACCGGGGTGTAAGCACCGGGGGGAGAAAGAGGGGGGGGTATGGATCAGTTTTCACACCGGGGCCCCATGGATCGTGTGTACGCCACTGGTTATGACACAAATGGCACCACTTATATTCATGCTTGCTTCATTTTTCTGTGATCGTCCGTCAGGCCTTGCCTGTTTGCGGTATGCTTGGTGACCTGGCATTCTCGAACATCTCTCTCCCTCTGTGAAGATGTGTCCATTTGGAAACAATTCTCTTGTAATGGCATTAAAGTTTTATAAAGTGTAGCATTGGTATCCTATAAGTAATGCATGAGGCATAGGTTTGTCGTAATGATCAGGCATCTGGACTTAGTGTTTCTAGAAAACCTGGGAGGTATCAGGTGGCTTAACCATTTTTTGTTGATTGGCTTATCTGTTCCACTCTAATTATTATTGCCATTTGCATAGCGCCAACAGATTCCGTAGTGCTTTACAATATTATAAGCAAGGGTTTATCAAAAGACAGGAAAATAAAAATGGGTTTAAAGGATCACTATAGTGTCAGGAAAACAAAGCGGTTTTCCTGAAACTATAGTGCCCTGAGGGTCCCCCTCCCGTGGTGCTGAAGGGGTTAAAACCCCTTCAGCCACTTACCTTAATCCAGCGCCGGGTTGTCTTGGCGCTGGTGACCTCTCCTCCCACTCAGTCAGTGGAGCCATTCAAAGTGTCAATAGGAAAGCATTTCTCAATGCTTTCCTATGGACGCTTTGCGCGATGGAGGCGAGAAGACAGCCACTAGAGGCTGAATTAACACTGCAATGTAAACATAGCAGTTTCTCTAAAACTATGTTTACATGTGAAGTGTTAAAACCTGAGGGACCTGGCGTCCAGACCACTTCATTGAGCTGAAGTGGTCTGGGTGACTATAGTGTCCCTTTAAACTTTAAGCTACTTTTTATGCCAAGAGCACCTGTATTAATCAAGGCCTAAAAGAAAAGTTACCAAAATAAAGTGTAATTTATTGTACCTAGTTGCAGACCGATTCTTTGCAATGGTAAGACGCTTGGCAGAATACCGTATATACTAGAGTATAAGTCGAGTTTTTCAGCACATTTTTTTTGTGCTGAAAAAACCCCACTCGAGTCAGTGTCTGTATTATGGCAACTTACATTGCCATAATACAGTCCAGGACCGCCGGGCTTGTAATGAGTCCTGTTGGGGGCTGGCAGCGAGCTATAACTTACCTTTCCTGTAGCAGGGTTGATGTTCCAGGAGGGATAAGCCAAATGACAAATGATTTAGGTAAACTAGAAAAATGGTCAGAATTGTGGCAACTGACATTTAATGTGGATAAGTGCAAGATAATGCATCTTGGACGTAAAAACCCAAGGGCAGAGTACAGAATATTTGATAGAGTCCTAACCTCAACATATGAGGAAAGGTATTTAGGGATGATTATTTCTGATGACTTAAAGGTAGGCAGACAATGTAATAGAGCAGCAGGAAATGCTAGCAGAATGCTTGGTTGTATAGGGAGAGGTATTAGCAGTAGAAAGAGGGAAGTGCTCATGCCATTGTACAGAACACTGGTGAGACCTCACTTGGAGTATTGTACACAGTACTGGAGACCGTATCTTCAGAAGGATATTGATACCATAGAGAGGGTTCAGAGAAGGGCTACTAAACTGGTTCATGGATTGCGGGATAAAACTTACCAGGAAAGGTTAAAGGATCTTAACATGTATAGCTTGGAGGAAAGACGAGACAGGGGGGATATGATAGAAACATTTAAATATATAAAGGGAATCAACACAGTAAAGGAGGAGACTATATTTAAAAGAAGAAAAACTACCACAACAAGAGGACATAGTCTTAAATTAGAGGGACAAAGGTTTAAAAATAATATCAGGAAGTATTACTTTACTGAGAGGGTAGTGGATGCATGGAATAGCCTTCCAGCTGAAGTGGTAGAGGTTAACACAATAAAGGAGTTTAAGCATGTGTGAGATAGGCATAAGGCTATCCTAACTATAAGATAAGGCCAGGGACTAATGAAAGTATTTAGAAAATTGGGCAGACTAGATGGGCCGAATGGTTCTTATCTGCCGTCACATTCTATGTTTCTATGTTTCCTGTCAGCTCCCTTCTCCTCCGTGCAGCTCCCCGTTCAGCTCCACTGTAAGTCTCGAAAGAGCCGCGGGGAACGCTCCGCACGGCCGCGAGGCTTACAGTGGAGGAGAAGGGAGCTGACCGGAACGGAAGAGAGAGAAGGGAGCTGCAGGAAAGGTAAGTTACAGATCTCTGCCAGCCCCGCCTCCTGCACAGCCCATCCACTGGACCACCAGGGAATGAGAGCCCCCCCTCCCTGGCCAGCTAACAAGCTCATACAAACACACTGCATTATATACACACACACACTGCATTCATTATATACACACTGTAAATAAACAATTAATATAATTTTGGGGGGATCTAATTTTATTTAGAAATATACCAGAAGCTGCTGCATTTCCCACCCTAGTCTTATACGCGAGTCAATACGTTTTCCCAGTTTTTTGGGGTAAAATTAGGGTTCTCGACTTATTCTGGTCGACTTATACTTGGTATATTATTTAGGTAATTAAGGCAAACCTTTTTTGGTTAATTGAGATTCACTCACAGTTCTTGTGAAACTGTAATGTTTCACTTTTTTTGCTTTTGTTTTGTTTTAGGAAACCTTCCCCAAAATAGTTATTACTTTGCCTGGATGTGTAAATCCCCCATATCTCTCACCGAATAATCAGCTAGAATGAATTGCAGTTACCCTTTCTAAAACATCTCCTTCAATTATCTTCTTTACAGCTTAGAGCAGTTTGGTTGCTATGTAGCATTTGCACTGGCGCAGTAGTAATTGTTTACTTGATATGTGTTTGTATTAAATCTTTTTCCTGCGTAGGCCTGTGGGAGGCCAGGTCTTGATCATTAGTTTCAAGCATGTGTAGCTTATAAAATCCATATAGAGATGGTCAAGCCTATATCTTTAAAATAGAAAATCACAGTGAGAAGCGCGGAAGCGCCTCTAGCGGCTGTCAATGAGACAGCCACTAGAGGCTTGATTAACCTTATTATAAACATAGCAGTTTCTCTGAAATTGCTATGTTTATAGAAGAAAGGG